TCTAAAATCAAGGAGATTATTTCGGTGTCTGAGATTTTAAATAAAGAAAATTAGGGATTGTTTATCTTAAAAGAAAGGAAAGTCGAGGATGTTAGATTACAAGACAGAAGCTCTTGGTGCTGAAGTCGGAGAAAGGGTGGGCAACCACGACTAGAATAATGGTTCCGTTGAAGATGAGGCACATGGCTTAAGGTTCGGGTAAAGGCAAACTTGAACAGTAAGATTTCGTTGGTTGACAAAGATGGATCGATGATTTGCCAGTTGGATCGACGACATGTTGTTGTAGAAGATAGTTTGCCATGGTGCGTTGTCTTTATCTTTCTTATGCATGCTTGATTTTGTAGAAGATTAAATCGAGAATGAGAAAAAGAGATGCATACCTGGTGGAGGGGGAGAAGTGAGCCTGAGGTTGTCAGCAAGGCGAGGTCGCCAAACAGATCGATTGTAGAGAGCATGTAGTGAGTGAGTAAGTGTTCTTAAAAAAAGCCCTAGAATTAATAGTCCCTACAATTTTGTTATAAGAAATGTGTGTTTGAGTAAAAATTTTAAAACGACATTTGTAGATGACACACCCTCTGTGTTTATAATTCTTTTTGTTGGATACTAATTTTAGGGCATGCAAAATGCCTGTCCTCTATCCTTCAAAATTTAAAAAGCAGACATTATATTTAGGACACACAAAAATGCATATCGTAAATCAGCACATGTCATTATTCACGTGTCATTAAAGGGCAGTTTTCTAGTAGTGTCGTTTGGTAAATTTATATAAATATTTTTTGTGTTACATTGTCTATAACCAAATATTAATAAATTATAAAGTTAATTACTAAAATTACCATATTTATAAAAGCTAACCGAAAAAATAATCATCGAGTCTTCGAAAATTTAACAAAAATATCATGTTTTTCGCTAAATTAATAATTTTATTTATTGTTATTTAGCAAATATTTTGTTTAATTATTTTATATAAACTTCTTTAAAAATCATATCATCATAGTGATCTTTATATTTGATTTGCATACAATTAAACTGAATAAAATTTTGATTTAGAAATATGTTTAACTATTATATAGTTAATTTCAGTTTATTGTAGTAGACTACAAACGTTAAAAAACAAACAAACTTTTTATTACAGACTGCAGCAGTTTGGTTCACCTCTTCTTTTGTGGATGGTTACAGATATGATCCACAGACTTCAAACGTTTTCGCTTTGAAAAAACAAGCAACACCTAACTCTTTGAACCTAATATGGACTCGTAATCATCATTGGCGTCATTAAGTGGTGATGGGCGTCGGTGGAAAGGAAGATAATCTTGGTGGTCTTCACCTTTAGATGTCAACGTAGGGTGTTGGTAAGGTCCACCGGGGAGAATGAACGTGAATGTGTGACCCTTTTTTATTTTAACAGTGATAAATATTAAAAAAATGAAGGAACTATAAAAGACAAACAAAGGCTAAAATATACAATACTTGACACGACACCAACCCATTTATTAAATGGGTCAAATTCGGGTTTGTAAAAAAAAATCCTGGATCGACTGGTGATCCGTTTATGTTTTAAACTTAAAAGAATAATATATAAAAGCCCAAATGATGTGTTTGTGTTATGCATTTCCGATAACTATAAATTACTATATGTCGTCTAAGCTTACTGTTGCGTAGGAAAACATTTTTTTTTTATTTTTATTGATTTGCTCATGATGTCCTTAATTGTGTATTTTTTTTTATATTTGCAAAAAGATACGATGAATTATATTGTTTTTGTTTGTCATTGTATATTTTGAATATGGTTTTGAGTGTATATATTTTCTGAGTCTTAGAATACAAAATATTACGAGAATTTTGTCACAGATAGAAAGACGTTTCGACGGTGGTTGTAAATCTTGATAAAAGAAAGGCTTCTTCCTTATGTAAGACAATGGAAACAACCTATTTTATTAATAAAAAATCTACCGGTGATATATTTGGATGAGATAATGACTTAAAATCATAATATATTTGTCGATTTGTACCCATTTAGTCACTGAGTTTTTTTTCGTCCACATTTACCCCCTTCGACTTGTTAAACTGTATACATTCATTCCTTATGATCGGCTACTCTAGGTTAGCTGGTAAAAATGACTTAATAGAGTAATATATTTCTCATTTTATACACATTTAGTCAATAATATTTTTGTACACATTTAGTCCTTAATATATATTTTTTTGTTGTAAAAATAAGTCATTATTGTTTTTGTACTCATTCAGTATTTATGAATGATTTCTTTCGGTTTTTCTCATGACATCTTACATGAGACAATCATTAATGAGATGTTTTGGGGTTTTTGATGCTTATGTCCGTCGCGATCTCAACTACTTGGTTGCTTAGGTCATGTGTTCTGAACGACATAACTTCTTCATACGATCTCAGGTTTTAATGATATTTATATCCATGCGTTCGTATTTTAGTCTACTACAACTTTCGTTTAGATTACTTCCGTTAAAAAGTAATATATATTTTTACTTATGATCTTTACAGTGGCGGGACCAACTAGTAGCCAGGGGTAGCCCGTGCTACCCCTCAAGTTTGTCCAAGAAGTGTTTTTGATGGTGCAGAGGTGCTACTATATATTGTAAGATGAAACGCTATTCACAGAACACCAAACCCTAAACACTGATTATAGGGTTGATTGCTTGAAGCGTTAGATGCGTTCCTCAAAAACGCAATTCAAGATTCTTAGCAATGGAAACAATTTTGCAATTAGAGATGCTCTGCCAGATGCGTTCTTGAAAACCGATGCTTCTTCAAGAATCAATTAGGAATACAATTGATGATCTAGTATTCCAAAATTTAGTCGCTGATAATCAGAAATCAAACCTCACGATGCCAGAATGCACAACTTTGACACTAAATTCATACAAAATAGAAGAAGTTGTAACAGTTTAGGGAAAAAATTGGTTGTATGATTGAATGTTCAAGGAATTGAATAAGATTACTCTCCCAAGTGATTTCAAGGTATATTATGGTGTTCTTCAGCTTATTAATTGAATGTTACCAATTTGGTGGTATCTTTGATAGTCAACCAATTGTATTTTCTTAAATTTGAATTCCAATTTTATTTTGTTGTAGTTATGTTCTTATTGCCTTACATTGAAATAATGTTACTCAAGATTTTAATTGTTTACAAAATGAGTGGTTTTCTTTTATGAGCTACAATAAATGTAATTGATTTATCCTTTAACTGTCATGTAGCCGCAACTAATTTCAGGTGCTCCCCATTCAGGAAAAATGAGATTGATGTTGTGCTTTAATTTCAAACTTTATGTGGGTTTTATTTGTTTATTATTGATTTCAAAATAATGATCAGGTTTACCTGTTTAATGTTATCACTGCCATCTTCCATTAAATTGATTTGATTTTGGAGTCAAATTTGTTAATATTGTTGCTTCATTTCAAGTTATCTCGCGGGTTTTTGGCTTTCAAATTTCACCCAAAATAAGCCATATTATTTTCAAGTATAATAATGTTAAACTTATAGCCTTTGGCTTGTAAGTAAATGTGTTACAACCTTCCAGGCTTTTGCTGCAAACAATGTAAGGTGATGTTTAAAGTGGATAACATAAAGTGACAAAACCACTTGTAACTCCTCTTTTTAAACTCCATTGCAGATTCATGCTTAAAATGAAGAACATGAAGTGATAAAACCGTAAACTCCCAAATTTTGCTCAAAATCCATAGCCTAGACAAATTGTGGCTGTTTTAAGGTGCAAATTGACCAATTTGTCCCTTTCCTGCTAAAACTTATATAGTTGTATCAAATACTTTGTATACATAAACTGTCGAAAATTTTGTGCTACCCCTAATACAAATTTCTAGTTCCGCCCATGGATCTTTATATCCATACGTTTTTTTTAATACATGTATGGATGTTTTTCTTTTATAAAATCGTAAGTAAAAATATATTACATTTTAACAGGAGTAATCTTAATGAAAGTTATACTAGACTCAAAAAAACGAACACATGGATATAAAGACGTTAAAATATGATATCGTATGAAAAAGTTACGTCGTTCAGAACACAAGACCTAAGCCAAACCATAAGACCTACGCAACCAAGCAGTCGAGATCGCGATAGACATAAGTATCAACAACCCCAAACACAACATTAATGATTGTCACACGTAAGTTATCGTAAGAAAAACCTAATGAAATCATTCATAAGTACTGAATGAGTACAAAAACAAAAATGACTTATTTTGAAACAAAAAAATATTAATGACTAAATATGTACAAAAATATTAAGGACTAAATATGTACAAAATGAAAAATATATTACCCTATTAAGTTATTTTTTCCGGCTAACCTAGAGTAACCGGTCATAAGGACTAAATGTGTGAAGTTTAACAAGTTGAAGGGGTAACTTTGGACGAAAAAAAAACTCAGTGACCAAATGTGTACAAATCGAAAAATATATTATCATTTTAAGTCATTATCCTTATTTGGATAAAACATTACATTTACTTACTTGGGTATAATACTCGCATTTAGTTAATGTGTAGTTTATTTTTGAATATGATTCACGAACTCGAATCTGAACCTAAAACCCAAATCTAACCAACAACCCACGAAGCCGTATAAATAAATGGGTTGATGGGTCGTATCTGGGTTGATGTTTCAAACCCGCCAATCCATTATCTGTATAGTTAAGTAGGTCTTGTTCGGGGTTGACTCGTCAATGCGAACATGACACGATTGACAACCTAGGCTACATCGCTCTTTCTAAATTTGAGGAGAATAACTCAAAAAGACTGAACCTTGAGGTTTGGAAACTTATAAGACGGCAACAAAAAGTTCAGCAAACCACCCCAATAGCAATTTTGTAATTTTTCTTTATATTTTATTACGATGTTGTATTAAAAGGGAATCTCCTCATTCCACTAACAATTATCCATGTCCCGACAAATCTTGCCCTCGTCGTAATCAATCACCGCCAAACAAAAAGTTTTGGTTTTGGTCCTAGTACTTATCACCCAATCCTAACCAGTCCAGACTTCAAGTCTTCAACCCCATTGATTTGTAGTCCCCCCAGAGGCTCCAACCAGTACAAACCTTCGAAATCTTTATCGTATGGAGAAGAAACAAGTGGTAATCATTGGAGCTGGAATTAGTGGTCTTGTAGCATGTAAATACTGTCTTTCCAAAGGCTTTGATCCGATTGTTTTCGAGTCTGATGGAGATATTGGTGGGGTATGGGCTAAAACCATACGAACCACTAAGCTACAAACATTCAAAGGGATGTACCAGTTTTCAGACTTCCCATGGCCTTCTTCAGTGATTGATGACTACCCTACACAAGACCAAGTCCTAAGTTATCTTCGGTCCTATGCGACTCAGTTTGACTTGACGAAGCATATTCGATTCCATTCCGTAGTAAAAGAAATTGACTTCCATGGGGAATCCTCGCATATGTGGTCGCATTGGAATGGAATCAACGGAACTTTTCCGCAAGGTAAATGGAAAGTCACTGTTGAGACAAGTCAAAGTCAAACACCATCCACGAAGGTAAGTGGAATTCACAAAATTCTTTGAGTGATTGATTCCAACATTCGATCTTAAACTAACGGGATTCAATTTCAAGCATTTCCTTCTTGTTGTAGATACCGCAATTAGTTTTTCTTTTTCCTAAAACTTCATAACAAATTTGGCTATTAGTAATATCATAGTGCGTATGTTTCTTCTTTAATTATTAAATTTTGTAAGTTGTTTAAATTTGTTTCATAATGTTTTGTCATGTGCGCGCGGATAACAAATTTCAAGCATTTCCTCCTTGTTGAAGATACCCCAATTAGTTGCTTGAAAGATGATTTTAAGAAATCAATAAATCATGTCATTCATCATTATTTACATTGAAATCCGTAGACGGATTTACAAACCAAACAGAAGCATACAAACCAATGAAATTGAATTTCATTCTCTTGCCAACTAAACATGTGACACATTTTTACTTTCTTTAGATTCCAATTCCTTTGAGAGATTAAAGTTACTTCCAAAACAGGTGTACGAAGCAGATTTTGTGATTTTGTGTGTGGGAAGATTCAAAGATGTTCCAAACATACCGTCATTCACTCACGACACAAGCCCAGAAGTTTTCCAGGGCAAAGTAATTCACTCCATGGACTATTCTGCTATGGATCACGAAAGAGCTAAGCAATTCGTTAAAGGGAAGAGAGTTGTTGTTGTAGGGTTCCAAAAACAAGGGCTTGATATCGCCATGGAATGCTCATCAGAAAATGGTTCGATGCACATGATCATAATCTATCTACAATTGCATACAACATATATATTTAGATGAAGTATACTACTATGTTTCATTTACGAGCAAATATGCAACATGCAACATTATACCCGTAAATTTTCATCATTCGTGCTAGTTGCATAAATTGATAAAAACTTAAACACGTTTTAATACATTTGTAAAAGTGTTTAGATATTTTCAAATTAAATGGTAAAAAAGCGAGACATGGTTGCATTTAATTTAACCGTATCTGGTTTTCCTTAGCTTCATTTCTGATGATATCAGGACCAGAAAATCCGTGTACCATTGTGTACAGGAAAGACCGATGGAAGATGTCTGATTTTAGTCCATGGGGAATTCCGTTGCAATATTTATATTTAAACCGGTTTTCAGAGCTTATGGTACATAAACCCGGAGAAGGTTTTCTACTCGGTATGTTGGCAACCCTTCTATCACCTCTTGTAAGCACCCCTTATCCGAGCTTAAGCTTAAGGCTCATTTACTTGTCTATTATAACATTCTACTTTCATTGGTTTTATTACAACATTGTATTTTTTTATTATTTTTCTTTATATTATGAATACTTTCTATTTTGAAACTTTTATTAAATTATAATATTATATTTTCATTTTTTTTTCTTATTAATTAGAATATTATGCTTTAAAACATCTCTCAGTTAAGTTATAGTTGTAAAAATTGTTTTGTATATAGATGACAGGGTGAACTTTCAATGTATAATCATGTAATAAGAAGAAATAAAAGCAAGATGCTAGAATAAACAAATCAATAAAAATACGATGTTATATCTTGTACCAGAGGTGGGGTATTTCAAAGCTGGTGGAAACCCACATAAAAAAGAATCTTCCTCTAGCGCAATTCAACATGGTACCTGAGCGTAGTTTCTCTAATGATATGCGTTCGTGTTTACTTGCGGCAATGCCCGAAGACTTCTTCAACCGAGTTGAAACCGGAAGAATTCACTTACAGAAATCTCCCGGTTTCGGATTTTACAAGGATGGCATTGTGGTCGATGGAGGAAATAAACGGATTCAGACAGATATAGTCATACTAGCTACGGGATTCAAAGGGATCCAGAAGCTCAAAAACATTTTCACATCCCAAGATTTTTGCCACTTCATTGCGGTTTCACCAGATTCCAGAGTTTCTCTCTACAGGTAATCAAGATATATGACTCATTCAATCTGTCGCTAAAATAGCCTAGTAGCTAGCACCGGATTCACTGTCACTAAATGGGCCATCGACACATTTGAGACCAGAATGTGTGAGGAACTTTTTAGCAACGAACAAATCCGTTGCGAAGAGTTTAGTGACATCAGAAATTTTTGGGCTATTTTTCGTGATGAGGTTGAGGAGAGCCTTTACATCTTTTGCAAAGACGGTGAGACAAAAAATTGCACTTTTTGGCTCACCAACAAAAAATTATTTGGCCCGGTCTAATTTACATGGTGTACAATGTGTTTTGTCATGTCTGAAGTTGCATGAGAAATGGGATTGCAAACACAAAAAACATGCTAATTTTTTGTATTGTATCAGGGAATGCATTCAGCCAAGAATACCACAATTAGCGATAATTGGATTCTCGGAGAGTTTTTCGAACCTGTTCACATCGGAAATAAGATGCAGATGGGTTGTAGAGCTTCTCGATGGGGGATTCAAGCTACCAAGCATTGAAGAAATGGAGAAAGATATCTCAAATTGGGATGATTATATGAAAAAATCCTCTGGTGAATACTATCAGAGGTCATGCATAACAGCTTTGGATATATGGTATAATGATCAACTCTGCAAAGACATGGGTTGGAACCCTCGACGTAAAAAGGGGTTTTGGGCCGACTTATTTCAACCTTATGGTCCCATGGACTATGCTAATCCATAAGTTTATAAAAACCGTGACTTGCGCATGAATAATAACGACTTTGTTATGGAACTAATTGTGAAATGTAGCAATGCATTTTGTCTTGTTGCTCATGTGAGCGATTTACTATACTTTTACCAATAATAACCATGTTCTTGTAATTCTCTACCTTTGAATTCACGATAGACTCCATTTGAGAAAAGTGTAAAGGGTAAGTGTTATATATATGCTGTCATATTTGTAATTTATTGGCCTTATTTGAAAAGTTTAAGGTTTAAGGTTCATAAACTATTATGAAGATGTGTCCAGATTGTAGCTATGTAGGACTAACAAATGTTAGGACATCTGTAATGAAAGGTGAATGAAGAGGGATGAATGAAGTTCCAACTAAGAGAGAGAGTATGTATATTCTATTTAATTCATGAAAAACTCACTATTTTTTTGCCTATAATGTGTTCAATTCCCATTCAACTCCACCCTCTCTCTCTCTTCTATATTATATTCAATTAAATTTATTGAACCCCTATTCAACTCCCATTGTGGATGCTTTTATTCCTTGTACTCGGCGATTAAAAGGGTAATTTTCTTTTCTAATGACTTAAATTCTTTCTAAATATATAGTCCAGGGATGGTTCTTACTACAGTATAGACAGAAAAAAAAAAAAGAAAACAGAAAAAACGAGTCATTTTGTGACTTCACAAAAAGTAACATCGCCCTTACTTCATATAAAAAATTGAGATAATACATTTCATTTTATATGTCCGTTTTTTTTTTACCATTTAAAGGTTCCTAGAGAATCTTGACTCTTAAATCTCTTAAAAGTTTATATGTTCAAATGCTCTTTATTTTCTTAGAGCGATCATAATTGCAAAGTATAAACAAACTCTTATTTTCTTAAAACATCCACAGTAACAAAAAATCTCTTAGTTCAAATACTCTTATTTTCTTCGAGCATCCACAATATCACAGTATAAACAAATTGCCAAGAAAACTATAAGTAAATAAGAAGATAATGCTTGCTGGTCTATTTAACATTTGAACTAGAATAATGGCCTTTAAATAGGCTTACAAATCAAAGATAAAATCATAACTAATCAATAGTTGAAGATAAGATTAGCCAGAGAAACAAAAGGTTCCTTATTATTACGGATAAAGCTAAATAAGCTAAAATAAAAGATAAAATACTTTAACATCCTCCCTTGAACTAAGAGCTCCAGATTCTTAGGGTCTAAGTCATTCAACAACTTGATAAACAATTTCATACAGACTAATAATGCAAACGAAACAAAGACAATCAATGTTAGAACTAAAGTATGAAAATATAATTGAAAATACAATACACAAAAACTAGGAAGTGAATAGATCACTATCCTTAAGGATAATTAACCCCACTACGATCGCTGACGGGTTTGAATGCCTAAGTTCCTCCCAGGACCTCATCAATCTTAAGGATTACATACAACGATTCCTGGAAATCATCTCATGAACATTTACATGATTATATTGAAGAATATGTGAGAATGAACTACCAAAAAACGAGGGTAAAACACACGTATTTATACCGAACATTCCCAACAGTTATGTCCCTTCATGAAAAGTCACAACTATTCACAAAAACCAGATCAAACTGAAATTCAGTTTTCCCTCCAAAAATAACGGTTAACGGAAAAGTTAACTCTCGGTTAAATTTACGACCAAAAATGTAAGGAATTTTATGTGCATGTGCAAAGTCTTTGATCATTAATATATAGTCCTTAGACTATATAATATTTTCAAAACCTCCTTTAGACCTACCGACATTTTATATTCCCTCCAAATTGTTTTTTAAACAATTCAAATGAGATTCCAATTATAAACCCACAAAAGTTTTCTTCACCTACAAATGTGGGATACTTTGTCAAAACAAGAAAATAATAAACCACATAAAATATGTGATAAATATTACTTGCTCCATCAATCAGTATACGTGGTTTACACGACCATTAGTTACGTCCACGGCGAACACGTAAGAAAGTTTTATTAATTTGGACGTAAAAAGCTTCAGTACAATACATTAGATGACACGAATTTAAGGAATATAATACTAATTGTCTGATGTAAACTGCCAATAAGGCCAAGCCCAGAAATCGGCCCTTGACGCGTTTTGATGTTGTTAATGATAAAGGAACTAGCCCATGAAAAAATTCTTTTGAGGAGCTGCCCCCGACCCTGTAAGGGGCGGCAATAAAGTCAAAGGTGAATCAGTCTCCACAACTTAGCGATCTCCCACTTGGAGGTTGATGAACAATCTACTACCATCCAAACTAGAACTTTATAACCTCCATTTCTTTCTAGTATGCACCTTTTCTTCAAGTACCTAGAAAGGTTAGTTGAATCCATACATAACTTCAGCTTCTCTGTGGTCACCACCTTGGTAAACATGTTTGTTGGATTCATCGTACCAAAGATTTTCTTCATATTCAGATTTAAACACTTATCAGCTCTTAAATAAAGTGATGCCTCATCTGAATGTGTTTCATCCTACTATGAAACACCGAATTTGTTGCCAAGTGATTGCACTCTAGTTGTCACAATGTAGTACACAATCTTCATGTTGCATCTCAAGTTCTGATAGGATGTTTTTCAACCATATAAGCTCCTTGCATGCTTCTGCAATCGCCATGTACTTTGCTCATGTGGTTGAAAGAGCAATACTTTTTTATAACATGGACATCCAAATGATTGGCATACCTCCGATTGTGAACATATACCTGATAGTGCTCTTTCCCAAATCCATGTAATCCCCCAAATCAACATCGGTAAAACCTTTTAAGTCTACCCTTTTTCTTTTGAAGCATAAAATAGCCTTGGAAGTACCTTTCAAGTAGCACAACATCCATTTGACACATTATCAATGCTCTCTCCCTAGATTTGATATAAATCAGCTCATAACTCCCACTACATGAGAACTATATGTTTGGGGAATATTTCTTTGAGATTCTCAACTGACTTCCCAAATGTGTACTTATGGGTTTTTTATTTGCCATGTTGTACTTCGGGGTTTAGCATCTTCCATGACGAATTTCTCTAGAACCTTCTTTGTGTACTTTTCTTGAGAAAGGTTCAAAGTCTCTGAAGTTCTGTCTTTGGCTATACTCATGCCCAATATCTTCTTATCAACCGTGAGGTCCTTCATCTTCACCTCTTTGGAAAACTGTTTCTTCAGCTTTTTGATATCCTACAAATGATATAACACTCTCTATATATAAAGGTTCATAATACTTTCTCTCTCTCTTTCTATATCTCTCTCTCTCTCTCTCTCTCTCCTATATATAAGATATATATATATATATATATATATATATATATATATATATATATCTCAATTCATGAAGTAAAAACCTACATGTATAATTGGGTCTTCCAAGTCTTCTCTTGTCATCTCCCTTGAAGAACTTTTCACCTTATTCTCCACCTTAAAGTTTGGAATGGATGACGAGATTCTATATAATGTCCCAAATTTTCAACCAAAATTTCTTTTTAAAAATATAAATAAATCAACTCAAAAACATTTTCATAAAACTTCAGAACACATCCACTAAGTCATCATCACAAAATAAGTTAAAAACATATATCAAAATATAACATCCCAAATTTCAAACCAAAATTTTCTTTTAAACATAAGTGATTGCCCAAACCTTTTTCATAAAATTTGAATTAACAAAATGTTTTAAAACATCATCAAAGCATAATCATGTAACAACATAAGTCTATAATAATAATAAATAGTGATGCGCGTGCGATACAACCAAGCTAGAGCCTTCACACTTCCAGAAGCACAACCTGAAAACGTTTAATCAAAAATTGTAAGCACAAAATTAAATGAGTTCCCCAAAATACCACACACTGCAATACACATACAATGCATACAAACAAAGGCTCTCAAATCCACTGTCAATCCATGTGATCAGCACAGACTAACAGCTTCTATGTTGTCTAGTCATCAACATCGACTAATGGCTCCCGCACTATCTAGTCATGAACAACGACTGATGGCTCCTATATCGTGAGAGTCGGTATCAAAATCCATGTAGATAAAAATTAGTGGTCAAACCCCTGTCCAGAGCCTAATTCCCTCAAAGTTTAACCAAAAGTCAAACTAGTCAAAAAAATTAACAATCAACTAGTCAATGTCAATGGTCAACGCTCAATGCATCACGACCCATCTTTTGGTCGAATCGTTAACGCTAAATGACCAAATTGTCACGACTGGCTATCGCGACTTGCATCGAGACACCCGAAGGGCCTCGTCGCTAATTTTGATCAAAACAACAACCTCTTATAAGTAGATATTGGGTTGATTAGTGTGGTCTTAAAGTTTTGAAACTTGTTTATGAAGCTTGAAAGTGAACGAATCTCATTTTGGTGCAAGGAAGCTTCATTAAAGTGTGGATCCAGCCTTTTCATATCATTTGTGCGCCTTTGTGTTGAGTTTTTATTCAAAAGTTGTTTGAAAATCATAGCAACAGAAGACTTTAGACTTGAACAAAATAAAACTAGTTTTATTCCCACCAAAAGATCATTTTACAAGACATAGATGGATTAGAAAACCATAGAAAGTTAAGTGTTACAACCTTTGAATACTTTGATTCTCATGGGAGATTAGAAGCTGACGAAGTGTGGCATTAAGCTTTAAATTAAGCTCTCAAGAAGTATCCACCAGGAAAGAATAAAAACCACCAAATATGCTAGTATACACTTGTATAAAGTTGTTCTTGAGCTTTAAGACATATACCAAAATATGTCTAAAGAGAAGCGACACTTTAAGCCTTCATCTTTGCACCAAAAAGGAAGAAAGAAGAAGTGGGGGAGGGAGCCTCTTGCTCTCGGCAATTAGAGAGAAAAGAAGAAGAAGTTTTTCCATAAAACTAACTCACATATCTTCCATACACTAGTTTATATATTTTGACCAAAAGTAAGAGTAGACCATAAAGCAAAAGTAAAGGCCTTTTAATTTCTTACAAGCATGGAGTAAATGAATAAACAATTCAACACTCCATGCATCATGTCTTTTAATCATACAACTAGGCACATATAAGCATTAAACAATTCATAAAGCATTCTTGTCTCCAAGCCTCTAATAATTATAACTAGATAGTTATACAGACGCCCC